AAAAAAAAAAAAAAAAAAATTTTGCTATCAGCTCGGCGCCTGTAGCTCAGCGGCTAGAGCGCCAGCCACATACACCAGTGCTGGTGGGTTCAAATCCAGCCTGGGCCCGCAAACAATGATAGCCACAACCAAAAAATAGCTGGGTGTTGTAGTGGGCACCTGTAGTCCCAGCTACTTGGGAGCGTGAGGCAAGAGAATTGTTTAAGCCCAAGAGTTTGAGGTTGCTGTAATACCATGGCACTCTACCCAGGGCAACAGCTTGAGCCTCTGTCTCAAGAAAAAAAAAAAAATTTTGCTATAATGTAAAAAAAATTTTTCGAGATAGGGTCTCATTCCATTGCCCAGGCTAGAATTCAGAGGCCTCATCATAGTTCACAGCAGCCTCCAACTCCTGGGTTCAAGTGATCCTCCTGCTTCAGCCTCCCAAGTAGCTGAGACTATAGGTATATACCACCATGCCAGCTAATTTTTTTTAGTTTTTGGAGCAATGGGGTCTCACTATCACCCAGGCTGGGCTCAAGCGATCCTCTCTCCTCAGCCTCCCAAAGTGCTAGGATTGTAGGTGTAAGCCACTGTACCAGGCAAAAATTTATTTAAAGTCATCTTTTTATGCATTTGGCAGTCCAGTTCACAGTGAAGAGAATAAGGAAAGGAAAGGAATGGCAAAATAGAAAGATTGGCAGGAAATAGACCAAAATGCTAACATTCATTTTATCCCTAGGTGCTAAGATTAAGGGTAATTTGATTTTCTTTATTTTTACTAACTCTATTTTCTAAATGTTACCACAGCAATTATATATAACTTCTGTAATAATAACAAACAATAAAATATAATTTCAGCAAGATGAAAATATGATTATCTTAAAACTTCCTAGGCAGAATATTAAATCAAGCCTTGCTCATTCCACTCATCTCACTCTCAAACATGGGGGAAGCCCAAACCAATTTCTTGGGTGCCAGTCTTCCTAAGCTAAACCGTTCTGCATCTTGCTATCAGTTACCCTGTCAGTTACCCTACTCAAGAGTCCAACATACAGATCATAAAATGCAAACTTCTGTCTTTATGCAAAGCATTTCTGAATAATTTTACCCTTCTATCTTCACTTACCATACTATCCTATCAAGTCCTCAGTTTTTTTAGGAGAAACCTGGTACAAAGAATCCACTGTTGGAGTTAAAGACCCTGACCAATACATCATCTCTTGGCCCCAGTTCCTTCAATGGAGAATGTTTATGAAGACTAGATTTTTAAGTAAGTAATACATTCAGCATACAAAAAGCTTTCAATAAACGACAATCATTATTGTCATTATTAACTAAATGAGGTTTTATTCACGGATTTCTCAAAAAACTTTGCAAGTTTATATCTGTACTTTATCACTCCTTTTGCTCCTTTCTGAGTTCCTTCTTTATCTTCTAAAACCCTATTAAAATTAAAGGTCCAGTTCAAGTCACCTCCTCCAGGAAGGCTTTCCTAACTCTGCCAAGTTAGTATGACCTCTCATTCCTTTGAACTTCTACAGCACTTAGAATTTATTCTACCTAAATGGTGGTGTCTTTGTTGATATTTTAGTTTCGTTTCCATCGATATACGTCCCCAAGCAGAGTATAATTCCTGGCTAGCAAACACTCCATTTTATATACACCTTGATTTCTTTTTGATGTCTCACACATAACCAAGTGTATAACAGATGGTCAAAAATGTGATAATCTGGGCTCAGCACTCATAGCACAGTGGTTACGGCGCCAGCCACATACACCGAAGTTGGCAGGATCGAACCCAGCCCAGGCCAGCTAACCAACAATGACAACCCCAAAAACAACAATAACAAAAATATATATATATATATGGGCTTTGTGGTGGGCACCTGTAGTCCCAGCTACTTGGGAGGCTGAGCCAAGAGACTCGTTTAAGCCCAAGAGTTTGAGGTTGCTGTGAGCTGTGACATCACTGCACTCTACTAAAGGTGACATAGTGAGACTCTGTCTAAAAAAAAAAAATGTGTTAATCTGATTTATGGACTTGAAAGAAAGTGATCACAATAAAAATAGTGGCTAAATATTTTTGCAGTGGACTATAAATTCTACATAAAGATAGAAAGCTTTGGCTCGGCGCCTGTGGCTCAAGCGGCTAAGGCGCCAGCCACATACACCTAAGGTGGC